TAAGCTCTAAGCAGGTGAGAAAAAGATTGTGCACAACACTTCCTGTGCTGTGCCTTCCTTCTATTATTCTAATATATCTGTCTCTTACTGAGAGAGTGAGTTTGAAAATGCTGTTACTGAACTCTGAAAATGGTCTGCAAGGCACGAAGCCCCTAATCCATATTTGTGTTGAGGGAACCCTGTCACCAGGGCATGCACAGCCCTTCCATACACACAAACCACCTCAGCATAGGGATTGACTTCCAGGGGCTCCTTAGGGAAGCCTTGAGCTCCACCACACATGATCTTTTATTAAATCCAGCATAAAAAAATCAGGGAGAAGGCAGGGCAGGGGTGCTGCTGTGTGTTGAGGACACAATTTGAGATGCCACCACTCTGTAGTCAGCTACTAAGACTGCCGACATTTTCATTTAAAGTAAATATTTCTGGTGGGCTTATCATTTACTGCTGTTAAACACGGCTCCAAAACACCTTTTATACCTGCAGATTATTTTGCAGTGCAGGATAAAAACGCTATTTACATTCTGTAATTGCAAGATATACAATTTTTTTTCTTCCTGGGAATGAACCTCTGTACCATCTGTATACTCTCATGATGGATCTCATGGATTTTGTAAAGCTCATTTTCCAGGGCCACTTTATGGCACAGAATTCACTAATAATATGCATTTACATTTAAACCTCTGGGATCCTGAGCTACCTCTTAATTTATTTCAGTGCTTTCTTTCACTTTTTAGTTCAGAATCAACAACTTATTGATTGACGCCTTTGTACTTGAAAGAGTTTGGAGTATTAAAGTGTTTCTCCTTCTGTTTAATCTCAGACAGTAACATCTGTATTTATGGTCAGAGTTCAAGAGAAAGTAAAAGATTCCATCTCAGCTGGGAGAGATCTACCCAGATGCTTCTCACAACTTGTAGTCATCTCTGAACTCTCTAAAGCAGATCATCTGATCATTTTAACATCCCAATTCCATTAATTTTACCATTGCAAATATGGAAAAACTGAGGTGTGGAAATAAATGATAGATAAGTCCTTTAAAGTAAATATTTTAGAACATTTTTACTCACCTTCTCAATCCCACATCAACAACTACATTAAACAAGTAAAGCTGTTTTACAGGACTCAGAATTCTAGCAGGATTATCATTATAGCAGGCTTTTAATTTCTTTTGTTCTGTATTTTTTAATTGAACTTTTCAATAAATATCAATGATCTTGCTAAACAAGGCTTTTAATGCAGAGGTCACTGACTCATTCTAAACTGAGAGAAACAGATGGATACTTTAAAATCAATAGTTTTAATGCCAATATTTGATACAAAGTAGCTGATGTATTTTATTCTTTTCATACACTAGATTATGCATTCTCCTTACACTGGCACTTCTGATATATTTTCTGAGAATCAATTTTTGTCTTATGTAAATGGTTCTCTGGAGGATTTCACAACTAGAGGCAGCAGAAATCAAACATAAAACCTACCCTTAGGACAAAAATATTGTCTATTGTTTGCACAAAAAAACAAGCAAAATAAACTGCTGTTTGAGTCTGTCCAGAAAAATGTCCTGCTGTTTTGTTAAAAGTAGGACTTACACCTCATGGAATTAGAAAAGACAAGCAGCTCAGGTGATAGAGAGTCGATAAATCACTCATGTTCTTTACCAAAGGAGCCTGCAGGTACACTACATACATTTTAAAATTAAGAAGCAGTAGAAAGGGGGGAAAAAAACCCTTATGCTGTGAGGATCATTTGGTAACAAGTATAGATGCATCTCAAAACCACTTGAAAACAAGACATTTCCCTGCTGCCAAGAGACAGAATTTTGAGCACAGTTGAAACAGTTAAAGCACAACAGCAATTATTCCTGGTCATTCATTACCAAGTTCTGTCCAGAAATAATAATTGCACTGATCCCAGTGACCACGTGAGATGAGCAGAGAACATTCAGGAGCTAATAATTCTGTTTAGGTTTGTTCCTGATTGCTTTTGGTCTGCAGAGGATACAACTGAATTAAGTAATTTCTAGCTTTTTTCCTCTTACCCAGGTAGGTCAATTTGTATAAATTCACCTCAGAGGTTCCCATAGCATATCACTGATTATAAACTCGAGTTACACTGATGTAACTAATAAAATTTACTCACCACCTTCCAAGAAAGAGGGATTTGAGAGATCCGTGGTAGAAGGTACCTTTGTTCTCTACATAAGGCTTCAAAGAATGCAGCAAAGAAAATTAAATTACTTGACATTATATAGGGCTCATTGCATTACAAGGCTCATTATATTTTGTCAAAATCCAGGTTTCATTTCTTGGCATGTCTTCAGCCTTTATCAGTACAGAGATTCTGCTTCAGTTCTGTTCATCATCACTGCAACCCAGATTTTTTTACTGTCACCACATGTGCCACCGTGTTCCTGCTTTACACCTTCCCTTCTGTGGAACCTTCTCATTTCCATTCAGCACTTCAGCTTTCTGCCTTCAGAAAACCTCCCTCTTTCATCTTACCAATGCAAACTGCTGCAATTCTTTAATTTAGCTGCTTCCAGGTGATTTTGACCACCATCTCCAGGCCCAAGACCAGGTCTGTTCTTGTGCCCCCATGTATAGACATGACCTGAAACCACCTCCTGGGAGGTTTGGCTTCAGCACCGGGACTGTAATTTAAAACTGTGTTATCAGAGCCTTCCAACATTTCCTCACATTTAGGTGTTCTCAATATTTCTCTCTCTTTTTTTTTTTCAAGGCAATGCGTTTTCCAAGTTAAAAACCAGCTGAGATTTCCCTGATTTTCCCTGCAATCATTTTTGTTAAAATGCCACAAAAAGGGGGCAAGACTATTCTGTGCTTCCAAGAAACTTTAAATTTATGTGCAAGAAAGTGACAAAATACCTGTTTCATTTTTTCTATTTTTTAATACTTAAAATATTTTTTCTGTTTCTGCTGCTGTGCTTACCCCCTAATATGAAAAATGTGCAGAATTCATGACTTGCTGCCGTTATAGAAAGAAAATACAGCAGTAGTTTATTTTATTCTTCCAAATTAAATATTCTGGCCATTTTTCCTTGGTGATCTTTTCCCCTTTTCTGTACCCCTTTGTTGGCTATTATTAACCTACATCTAAATTTTAATTTTTAATTAAAAAAATCCATAAATCAAAATTAAGAGACATCGTAATTACTAATTGACATTTCTTCATTCTTTACCATGGTGCTATCCCTTTTGGAACAGTTTCATTATTTATTTTTTTCTCTTTCTTAATTAAAGGCCCTTTTTTATTAGAAGTCTCTTTTGGGAGTAAACATTGATTATTCCACATCCTAAGATCTGGCTGCAAGACCTGAAAATGTGTATTCTATGCTTACAGTAAAGGTTGGAATTATTCCTTGCCATGGCACTGATATGAAGTTTGCTTTAAAACATGAAAGATCCTCTTAGACTCATGAGAAATGGTATTAAAATTTATTGTTAGGTATTGCTGATTGTGATTGAAAATCACTTCATTAAATTACAGTACAGAGAGATGAAGGACATCTTGCAGCAATGAAAATGGTTGCAAATTTAATTAAAACATTAAATTATTGTTGGAATAAAGGTCATAATCATAAAATGTAATTGAAGGAAGTACATTAGCATGTACCCTAAGGTATCCTTTCTATTTCAAAATACATATTACATATTTGACATTTAAGGAGGAAATAGGTACCATTTTATCTGGATGGATGAACGACGAGGGTGAGAATTGTTATCCATAATACAGTTTAAGAGCCCAATTTTTCAAAAAATCATTTGCTCCTTGCATAGGTGTAACATACTATTTGTGTGCCTCTGACTGAGGGAATTCACATTATTTATGGAAGAGCCTGGACCTGCACAGAGCAGAGGACATTGGATCATATACTAAGGCTTTATGGAAAAGGTGTAACTTATGCCCCAGCCTTCCAAGGGTATCCTTGTCAGACTCTGGTTGTGTTTATGCCACTGTGTGCCATTTATCACGGCACTTCTCTGCCTTGCAACAGATTAGGGAGGAAAAAAAATGCACGAGGATAGAAAGTAGAAGCTGCAAGAACATCTCTCCATGAAACTGGTGCTGAAAGCACATTGGTAATGCTGCCACAGCAGGGCTGTCACCTCATGTCCTGAGAATTTCTTGTTCCAAACAGCAAATACCCCAGAAATTAATAAACCTTAATGATTTCTCCTAAATACTCAGCAGTAGCCTTTGAATTCAGATCAAGTCTTGTCAAATATTCTGCATCTCCTTCACTTTCTGCATTTACTGATATCTTTTTGAAAAGGGAGAGGGTATTTTTTTAAATAGCTCAGATGGGAAAATCGGAGTGAGCACATGTAGAAAATTTGTATATTTCTACATAAATAATTTTGTAATATATATTTGGAAAGAAAGCTAGGATTGCCAAGCTGGAATTCAGCAGTGGTTATGCTGATAAATCCATGCTGCAGACTGAAATGCTCTATTGCAGCAAGTCATTTTACACTGTGGAAACAAAATAAGGACCATGCACAGGTTTCCAATAACAAATTAATTCTTAAGATTCTTAAATAGCAGTAGAAATCTCCTAAATTTACTTCAGTGATCATCATCTTTCGTTGCTGTTTCTTCAGATATTATTTCAGTTGCCATATTCCTTCTCATACTGACCTGTTGCATCAAAGCCAAAAACCTGTGAATTTTCAAAGTTTAAATCTACTTCTGTTATTTTTCCCATTTTTTTTCTCTTTTTTTCCCCCTCTTCTGCTTTGCCTTTTCCTTGTTTTCCAATGTTTTCTTCTATTCAAATGTATTCCTTTATTAGCAAAAACATTCAATTAAAAAAAATCAAAGAAGAACAGCCAGGATTTGGTGAAGATATCAGATATTGCCTTAGAATTACGACATAACTTTTATTTCCCAAACACAGGATCTCAAGATCCATACTGCTATTTTTCTGTTCCGTTGTAGTGAGGCTTTCTCTGAATCCCTCATTATTTCCTTTACAGAGAATTACATGTGACACAGTGAGATACAGATTTCAACACTGTTTGGCTCTGCACTGGGATCTCCAGGAAACCTGGGGTGTAAGTGAATTCTAGAATTTGGCTGTTTAGCAAATGTCAGTTTTAAGCAAACCCTTCAATGAGTCAGTAGTAACCCTCCTAATAATGTCCCAGCCATTATCTAAGCAGGGAGTTCTGATCTGTTGTCTTAATTACTGGCCTAAATTAATCCACATATTTTGTGAAAAGAAGTGCTGAGGATGGAGACCATCATAGGATATTTGTGCAGTTATATCCTCCAGTGCTGTGTTTTCTACAGCTCATGTTTTTACTTTATCTCTGCTCCCTTAAATGAGCCATTAAAAAAAGAAGGAAAAGAAATTTCAAAGGAAGTCATCATGAATTATTTATTACCGGTTTTTCTGCTTTAAAAGCTGAAAGAACTAGATTAATTGCATTATATTTTTTTGCTATTTGAGACATCAGAAAGGAATATAATAGGAAAATTAATATTTGACACTTGTGCCCATTAATGAAATTGGGAGGGCTACACAGTTTCCTGACGAGGCATTTCTGAAGACTTCTGCAGTTCCAGCCCAAGCCATGACACTGCAACAATGAAAGAAGTAATGGAAAAATATACACAGATCAAATGAAAAAGGGGTACAAAGCAGGAACATTCAGACCAGGGGAGACTGTGGGTGACTACAACAATTTCAGAGAACAAGAAGAAAATGAAAGTGCATGAGAGGAAGTTATAGATACTGAAAAAGAAAAAAATTAAACTTGGAATCAGGACTGAGGCATTGTCTACATTTCTCTTGCTCAAATAGAAGAATTTCTATATGATATATGGTTGGGGTTTTTTTCCTTCTGCTTCCCAACACCCTAAAACTGTTCATTATCACTGCATCAGATAAGACAGAGAGGTTTTCTAGAGCAGATGAGACCTGGAACTTGAAGCGAAAAATGTGTAATTTTGTTTGCTCGTTCGTTTGCCAATTACTGACAAAATCTAAATGTAGTGTATTGCTAAGTGAGAGAAGGTTGTCTTTAATTACAGCAGCCAAAGTTACTTTTCTGTTATAAGCTGTTTGGTTTTATACCTTTTCAGTCTATTGTCTCTGAATCAATCAGTATAAAAGCAGGCTTGTGGAAATTGGAATTATCTCAGGGGAAGTGCAGAAACAAATTAACAAAACTGAGGGACATTTAACATCTAGAGATTAGCAAAATGAGAATTCAAAATTCCTATCACTTGCTTTAGCATAGAAACAAAAGTCTTATCCTAGAAACAGTTTAGGAAAAAACATGAAGCTTGATGAGTCTCCTAATAAGTTTATTTTTGATCCCTCTTGTGTGGTTCTTATCTATGGTAGTTTGCTATTCTACTAGAAAAAATATGCAGTTTAAGAGTTTTCTATTTTGAATTATTGGCATCATTCTGTTCTATTTGAGTCGGATAAATGGATAACAGAACACAACCAGTTGTCAAACCCAGCTGGTTCTTATGACATTAGGCCAACTTCTCCAATTCAAAATGCACATCACCCTTAATTATGGAACACATAACTTCCACTTCACTCGTGTGAGTTGGAGGCACAAAACTGGTGCCAGCTCCTTTTTTTTGAATCAGGAAAGCTGAAAGGCATGAAGAAAAATGACAAAAAGTAAGAGAGGCAAAGGCTGGCAAAACAGAAAGACAGCTGAACTTCTCCTTGTTGTCTGTAAGTACTTCTAAAGCTGCTCAGAACTGACAGCAAATGAGCTGGTAGGGAAGGAAAACATACCTAAGGAAAAGGAGAAATGTGGGAGCAGCCAGGGAAAGGGAGCCAGTGCTGCTGTTTCAGTGTGGGCTGAGTGAATTGCCAGGTTACATTTTAGAACCCTTGCAAGGCTGCAGTGAAGCGTTTAATGGAACACAGAGAGTTCGGAGTGCTGGCAAAGAAAAAATCAGAATACCTTGAAGAGCAATGTCATTATCTCAAAATTTACAGTGATTAAAATTTTGCCAAGCTTTTTATTTTCCCTTTTTCATCAGTGTTTTTTTCCCTTCTAACTGATCATTCGTTTTCAATCTGCTGTTAAACAGCTTTATCAAACGAAGGCTGTGTGCTGTGTAATGAGAATGTATCCAGTAAAAATGCTTTCAATTACATTTTAAAACTGCAAAATATCAAATTACTGCTGTATGAGGATACTCCATTGAAAACTGTAAGATTACCAGAGAGGTCATTATGTTTCTCTACTACATGACTTTGTAGTATAATAGCACAGTGTCACCTTAAATATGATTCATTGAAAATGTTACAGTGAACAAACCAATTTTTCATTTCTAGGGCCTTGCAATCAATGAAACAGTTCATACAAAGCAAGAAACAGTGTAAACTTTTATTTCTTTATTTCGATCACTACTAGAACTTTTCGGTGATAAAATAGAAAATAATTCAAAGAAATGTGATCTAGTTTTCACTATATCTGTGATTTATTTAATTCCTATATTCTCCTCATTGCAGTTATATCCAGAAGTGCTAGTTTCTTTCATCTTTTGATTCTTATTCACTAGCAAACATTGGGCTGGTAGAGAACTGCTGGAGTTGCAGGAGACTCAAGTTTAGCTCCTTATTTTATCATTCCCATGCTGCCTTTGAGAAATCAGTGTTGTAATGTACTTAAGTTCCATTTGCAAAAGACATTCAGATACCCAGAAAGCAGAGAAGCCTTAGTGCTGAATCACTTGGTTTTAGATATCCTGCCCAAATGTCTCTGTAGTCAAGTCCCCAACTGATGGACTCAGTTAATGTGACAGGGTACAATAGGTACATCTAAATAAACAATTCCGTACTTTGCAATGGTTCTTTTTAGGTGTTAAATCACTTCCTTTTATAGTTTGGAGTCATGCTGTGTGCACTAGAACGTGCCATGGGTTTGGAGTAGGTACCACAGAGCCTGATTACTCCGGCATCACACACAGATGGAGGGAATCTCACCTTTCAAGCATCAGCTTAATGCAGTTTTCAAGAGCGTATTTTAATTTTTACACGTTTTTTGTGGTATCACAGAACACTATATTCCTGCTGACAGATGGAATGGGTGGTTTACCAGAATTAAATTAACTTTTAAGAGTAAATCTGTTTCCCCTCTGTCCTTTACAGATTCTGCATAGGAACAATATGCCTCTTTCAGGATGTGTACGGCCAAAACATCAGATAGCAGGGCCTCTGATATCTGGACTGCTTACACACCTTAAAAACGGTATTTCTGTAGCATTTACTCTTCTAGACTGCAGTAAAAACAACACAATATTAAATGCCAAACAATTTTTACTTCTCTAGTGCTTGACTTGTATTATAAATTAAGGATTGTAACATAATGATTTGCTTTTTGTTGTTCATTGAGCAGCTCAGCTTTCAGCTGTGATAACACAAACATCTGTTCTTTTTCTGGCAGCGTGGGTCCAGAGGAATTTACAGTATGAGAATTGCATATTAATTGTTACCAGCATTCCTTCTAACACAAGGGGTTTCTTGATGATATGGGGTGTGATAGAAGAGAACCACAAAGTAACGGGAGAAATGGGGTTGGCTCTCTGGAGGTCACGTTGTCAAAGCAGATCAGATTGTTCACAGCCTTGTGTGGTCCAAGTGATTATCAAATGTGCAGGAGCTGGGCTAAAACTGAAGAGGAATAAATGTCAGTCCCCCTCAGACCATGGATCCCTATCCAATCAACCCATTAATATGCTTACAGGAGAATAAGGCAGGACTTCAAATGTTCCATGCTCCTTAACAAACAAACAGACAAACAAACAAACAAGTGTTTCTGTAGCTCCAACTATTGATTGCAAACACTGGGAGAATCTTCATAAATACATGAAGGGAGATACAAACTGAAAACAGGGACTAATGAAAATGTTGTAAGCCAGTATGCCAAAGCAGCAGGAAATACTGCATGTGCAAAGATATTTATGATTAGAACTATGAACTAAGTAAAAATGTGTGTGATTGCTCTGACCTTCAACTCATTACACTCTCAATTATCTTTTTATTCCTCAATGCAAAATAAATATGTTTTAATTATATTTATGCACAAGTGCATCTGAAGTTTGGATAAACAGTCATGAATAAATTAAAAGCCCAGTGAAAACCAGACTTCATAAGAAAAGCACTGACAAAAGAGTTTATTGTAGCTCAGAGAGTAGCTCTGAGCTCTGTAGCTCTGATTGTACCATCATCCCACCTAGCATAAGTTTTAAATTGTATTTGATTATAATAATGATAACTTTTTACAGAAAGCAATCATTTGACTGGCAATTGCATGGAAGAGTGAATGGGAACCTAGCAACGTGGCAATTCCTGTTATTATAGAGGAACCCTTGCAAAAAGGATATTCTGTTTGAAAACCTTGCATTTAGTATTTGATACAAGCTGTAATTCAATTCAGTGCAAGAGTCGTTAAGTCCTCTTCATCTGCTGTCAAGAGAGGAGTTGGGGGGTGTGCATGCACCTCATGGATCCAAAACATCACTTCTGAAGGATTTAATGAGAGTTTTGGGAGGTTATTTCTTAAATGAACCTGAATTTGACACTTTTATGCCATCCCCTCCCTTTGTAGGGTCTGTTGCATCCTGGGGCAATCCTAGCAAGGAAACATGGACAGGGAAAGAGAAACAGCAGAGCTGATTTGCTGCCAACAGGGAATTTTACAGCGTGTGAAAGGATGGATCTATGGTACATAATTCCAGACATTATAAATCCAATTTTATAAGGGTTCCTAACTTAGATTTCAGCTGCTTACCTTGTCTCTAATATCCCAGAGAGGTAAATACTAGTGCTGCCACTACAAATACTACAACAGCACCCGCTGCTACTACTTATATGATAGTTTAAATCCAGAATTTCTATTTACTTTTCATACTGTTTGGACTATTAAACATAAAGATAACAGGCTGCTTACAAATCATAGCAGATACCCTGTAACTGCATTGGGTTTTCAACACTTTTATCTTAGAAGACTGAATAGTCCAGTGCAGGGCATCTGGGACAACACTACAACTAAATCCCAGCACATCTGTTTTTTCAAGGCCAACACTTCCCATCTACCCTTTTTTCTTTAATGGTTAGAAACATGAAAATGTAAAAATATCCTATTTACAACTACGTACTGAGAATCCCACATTATATCACTCTTTTGCTGTGATCTGATTAGGGGGTAGAATGTAAACTAAGAGTATTTATTTGACTTTAAAGTCCTGTGGATTTTTTTATGAGGCACCAAGAGATCTGCAGGTCAAGGCAGTAAATGAAAATGTGTCTAAAATTTTTCAGGATTCACTTCAACTGGGCCTAGAGATATCAAACACCA